AAACCAGTATGTGTCAGTTTGGTGGTGGAGGAGCTAATTAGATATTAAGATATGCACAGAAAATTAAGTCAGTGCTGTTTCCCACAGAAAACAATGGGAGGAATTTAACAAAACTGGAGCAGACAGAATGGGGGAACAGTTGCCCTTGGTATCCAATCAGCTTCTCTCTTCGGTTTGTTCAGTTAACATTTGAAAATGAGAGAGAGAAGCTGATTGATTGCCATGCACATCTGCTCCAGAATTTGTCTGCTTTAGTTTTGATAAATTCACCTCAATGTGTCTACTAGATGGTGCGTTATTCAACCTGGAAGACGGAGGACATCTTGTGGCAGTGAAGAGGCAATGCAGGGGGGGCAGCACTGGAGAGGAGATGAGTATTGCAGCCTGTGCTCCATTTATTTTTTATTTAGCTGGGGACATGTTTAGAAAGCATTAGTCTGGAATTATGCTTTAGAGGAAGCCTGGGAATTATTACAGTGCAAACACACTGGACCACAGATTATAGAGCAGGCATGTCTTGCTCCTACTGCACCCATGGTCAGTTAATTTCAAGACCTTCTCAAACTCATGGCGCTCTACTATGGTGCTTGGGACCACAGTGTGAATAGTGACATGGTCAATAGTCTGTTGTCTTCCTCTTCCAATGCATCACTATTGGACATTGTGGATGCCCATTGTATTTAGTGGCCAGCAGTGTCGGCAATATAGTGCAGGGGACCATTATATCTTAATGGAAGAAGCCACAGGTACACTTTAATTACTGACAAATCTATAAAGGTTCAGTTAGTAACTCAGCTGGATTTATTTAACCATAGAGCTTGTGTATGTCCATTATTCTGTATTTAAAGTAATTAAAGGCAACCTTGACATGAAACTGTACTCTGAATAGTACAATGACTGTCATTACTCATGTGTTGATGCCTATAGCCTTATTCGTCTCAGTAGCTCTTACTGAAGAGAGTTTCAAATCGGTTTAAAGCCACTTTTTGTAACTAGTGCTAGCTGTATTTTTGTTTAAGCAGTCATAAGCGCAAATGAACCCTCAGGCTAGCACAAATATCCACAATTAAAGTATTGGTAGCCAAGCTATTGGTACCAATGAAGCAATGTACGGCGGTGATGGCTATAACTGGACAGCTCTCTTAAAGAGTAAAGGTGACTATTCAGACCAGTCCATTCTGGTGCATTACATCAATGCACAAGCGTTAATGAGTGTTATGTCACACGTTAACATGCGTTGCGTTAAGGCTGCACATTCAAATGAATGGGCTGCCAAAGCACCAGAATGGATGAAAAATATGCACGCACGGTTTTGTTCTGATATGGCACACCAAAATGCAATGCCGTATGTTGTGAAGTGCTGCAATGCCTGTGCTTTGGAGGTGCACTGGATTAATGCATTGGGGTGCAATTGACTAAGAATGCCTGCAAAGTTTTAATGCATTGCGGTAATACAGGCATTCCTGTGATGCACAGCACTGGAAAGGTGTATAATGCTTAAATCTTGCTTTTTGAGGAAACTTTTTTTGTTTAACTATTTTTTCTTCTACTTCTTTTACAGCAACAGAGAAGACTTGATCTTCTTACCATTACCAACCCCGGTGAGTACCCCAACAATATACTTTACACGTGAGACATTTTCTTGGAATGCCAGTAATCAATAAACCAGGTAGAAAGTTTGGGATTTTCTGTGATTTACTACATATATAAATTTGAAAATATAACTTGTACAATATTAAAAAATATACATTCGTGCTTTATGAATACTATGCAATTCAGGAAAAAAAGTTGTTTAAAACATTCCCAATATACAGAGGTGTAATTATAGCCATATGTAATGTAAGGAGGTTTATAAATAGCCAAAATGCAACAGTATAATAATGTATACAGCAAATATTACAAGCAGATTAATTTGATGCCTTCCAATGTAGTGCTATGAAATAGGAGACAGTTGGTTGCAAAAATAGCAGATTCAGTTGAATTCTGTGCAGGATCTCCAGTCCTGCAGACATATCTCACACTGCAGGCCGCACAGTTTCAACGGTCAAAAGATGATGGCATGACCTCCTCACTTCTTCATGCCCCATGAAGAGAGCTCACAAAACCATTGGAGTTCTGAGTGGTCAAACCAATGACTCATCTGCTTGTCAATGCACTGTACCTCCCAAGTATGTAGGCATACCAGAAGCTTACAATAACACCTTTGCCGACTTGTGTTTAGCTAAACAGTTGCTTTGTGAATACTATTTCTATTTTAGCCTAAGCTTGTAAACTAATACAAAATGTTATCATTAACCATGACTGTAGACCATACAACTGCTATGGGGCCCAGAGCTGCCTGGGGATATGATGGTTTATGCAGATAACTATGGTATAAAATAGGGATGCACCGATACCAAGTACCGTACTCGGTACAAGTACAGATATTTTTCCAGCTCCAAGACTAGACTAGAGAAAAATTCAAAAGTTAGGCGGCAGCTGTCATTTGTAAGGAGCACACGGAGCTCCTGGAATTTGTACATCTCTGTTTTAATGTATGATTTTGTTTTTATAAACATATATAAAGGGATGCACCGATACCATTTTTGCAAGTACAAATACTGATACCTTTTTGTTTATTGTCATGTGACAGTTTTTCTAAAACAATACAGACTAATGATTTCAGGACAATGGTGGAGCGCCAGAGCCAGGTCCCAGCTGCAACCGCTGAAACTCTGGTAGTTCTCATCAAAATGCCAAGTATCGGCGCTGCTATCTGAACTGGTATCGTTGCATCCCTAGTATAAAATAAATGAGTATATATAGTGTGGAAATCTGTTATGGTCACTATGAAAGTGATTAGTATTTTGTATTATTAGAGACATTGCTTTTGAGATGAGCATCAGAGACAGCGGACACCAGTATGGTTTTGATATTGGGCACCATAATGCACAGAGATGGCCCAGTCAATATCTGCGGAAAATATATAGCAAAAGGGTGTATCTATTGTCTTATATTTTGCTCCAATATCACACAAACTCATACATGTCAACATTTTCTGTGTAGTTTTATATACTGTATAATGAATTATATTGAATTTGACACACATATGATTGTTTATTGGATCCTCTTCTCGGGATACAGATATACATGAATTTACAGTACAGTAGATTTGGAAAATATGCCAATGTATTCTTTGTGTGTACAGCTCAATGAATGGACTTATGTTGTGTTTGCGTATCTTCACAATGATGCAGTTACAGTAAACTGCGCAAATATGCCAGTTTGGGGAATGGGCTCTGTCCTAAAGAGAGTTCATTCATTTGAAATCAGATTAAACAAATACACATTGCCCAGCAAAGTATTTCTTAAAATTTTTGCCCAAGCACTTACAGTCATCATGTTACCAAACAGCTACAACTTTCTCAGCTCGGCTTACCTGAACTTCCTGTTGAGCATAGGATCACAAGGCACAGTCTGCAGCAGCTGTCCATCTACTAGGTTAGAGAAGACAGGAGCAAGAAGTAGGGAAATGGTTTGCCTTGCTGTGTCTGTGTGTTTGCGGAGACACACATAGGACACTAGAACACACATGGCTGGCTCTATAGGAACCTGCAAAGTAAAGGAGCCACCCTAATACAGGATATCAGGGCCAGTACTCAGGGGACCAGCTGATTATTCAGAAAACTAATACTTTTAAACATCAAGGAGCAGCATCCATTTGCTCAAGCACTTACATTCCTCTTGTTTACAAACAGCTCCGACTCTTTCAGCTTGGTTTACCTGAACTTCCTGTCCAGTACAAGATCCCCAGGTACAGCTCAGTCTCCTGCAGCTGTCCATCTACTAGCTTGGAGAAGGAAGGTGGGAGGAGCAGGAAGGAGGGAAATGACTTGCCATGCCTGTGTGTTTGTGGAGACACAGCTTACTAGCACACACAGGGATGGCTTCATAGGATTCTGCAAGGGAAAGGAGCCACCCTACAACATGATATCACCAGCCAGTGTTTAGGGGACCAGCTGATTCTGTAGGAATCTGAAAATTTTAACCCTTTCACTTCCACCAACATATGTCATACACAGCTTGCAGAGGGCCCCTTTAAACAGACTCCTGGTGGCTATAGCTGCCGGAACTCTGTTTACATGTGCAAAGCCGACTGTCGGATTTAAACTGGAAGAGATTCTGGTGGCTGATCCCTCCAGATTGGAGGGGATAATTCAATTTTCCTAAATCCACCTGCATTAATCGATGGCTAACACGGTACAATACTCTACTACTATTTTCCAGTAATAGAGAAATTAGTGCAGCACTCCTGGCTATGCATTGTGGCAGAAGAGTGTCATTCATAAAATTGAGTGAAGAGAATCAGAAATATTTTGGCAGTGGACATATGTATTCCAACTCTATTTAGCTGTTAGGCTGGAGTTCAGTCTGTGCAGGTCATTTCCAATAATTATCTGCTGTGTCCTGGCACAGAGCAGTGCCCGGAGCTCCCGATTCTACACAGCTTTCTGCTACAGAGTCAAAGATTTAATCTGAGGGTGCCAAAACCATGGACTTTCTACCGCTGATTACTTGGCAATGGCAACATTAACTAGCTGTGTCTACAGCCCTAGGATCTCACTCCATGTGACAGATTTGATTTTATAGGACAGCCTGTATCTGAATCAGATAAATAAACCTTATAATGTCAAGTTCAGTTTAGGGTTTAATTTATCAGTTTTTATTCACTGTCATTTTTGTTTGTTCATTTTATCCATCATCCCCTGTTCTTCTACCCCTCTGACAAATTCAGCATCTCTTTAAAAAAATCAATTTTGTATCAGATTCAGTATTTTAATCATTGTTTGCGTTATTGTTTGTACTGAATCTTCGAGGGAACATTTAAAGTCTTTCTTTTTTATTTATCATGTTTAGAGCTAAAGATTCTTTTTTGTTTTTTAAATCTTTTTTTTAAATATATTTTTTATTAGCCAGCTGGTGACACTCTGGATTCCTTTGTTTATGTTGATCTTAACTGCTTTGTGGAAACAAAGCCAGATGTTCACAAAGCTCAATAGCTTAAGATCAAATTACACACACAGCTGACTGGATGAAAGAAGTGACCCATCCCATCCCTCCACCCTTTCTTCCTGCTTTCTACAGTTTAATACAGAATTTCAATTAGAGAGAGATACCTTGAAGTAGAATTAGAGTAGAGCATACTGTCAGGAGACCGGGGGTGTTACCTCTCCTCGGGGCCAACATGTACGGTGCAGGGCACGGGGTCTCGTCCAGCTTGGTAGAACTCATGACTCTGGGGTTGCAGGTGCGCATGTGCAAAATGCCCGGCGGACGCGCGTGCGTGGTACACAGGCTGCGCGCACGTGCTCCCATTAGGACTATCAGGTGTGGCCCTTGCTGGGGGAGGTTCCCAGCATGCACCTTCCATCCCTCACCCCTGCCACTGGTTCCCGGGGAGTGAAGCCTCCTGGTTGCCTCAGTAACCGGGGAGTGGTCTTACATCCCCTGTATGGTGTGATCGCCTAGCCTCTCCATCTGTGTATCTTGCTGTTGATCCCTGACCCCTCATCTGGACTTCCTGTTTGCTGACCCCTTGGACTGTTTATCTCTTCTGAACCTCTGCTGCCCGCCTCGACCCAGATTGGACCTTGACCACCCCCTTGGATTGCCCTTTCAAACCTTGCTCTATAATTTTTAAGGGTTCCTCTCCACACTGCCAGCCCACAAGCAAGTCTGACACATACTCAGGAGCCCATATCAGGCCTCAGGGGACCTCTCAGCTCTGATTCTCATTCCCAGGATTATATTTGAACAAAGTAAGTGAAGAGGTCAAATATAACCCTTTCATAAGAGTGATTATAATAATTTAAGACTGAATATTTTAAGGTCAACTTCACATCAAGAGAAATTATATTTTAAATGTTCCACCCACCCTCCTCAGTGGACGCCATGTAGCGATGTATTTATCTTCAGTTCTGCTATGTAGACCTTCACTGTGTGGTCCTGTCGCTGCACAGCCTTTAAAAAAAGTCTTGTCTGTGTTCGCCTCATACTGTGTATGTGCTCCACCATTTAGTCCTATGGCTAGGTCCGTGGTCATGGAAACCTGTAGCCATCTAGAGGAGTACGGGCCCAGCCATGGGAATGAATGGGGTGAGCGGTTTGACTGTGCAATTGTATCTTAAGTTCTGTTGGCGAGTCAGTGAGTACAAACAAATTAAATTCTGTTGGTCATCCAGTGACCTCAAACTCTGCTGAAGAGCCAGTGAGTACACCCACCTCAAACAGTGCTGGAGAGAAAGTGAGTACACCCACCTCAAATTCTGCTGTAGAGCTAGTGAGTGCACTGTTAGTATAGTTAGTGAGAAAACCCACGTCAAACTCTGTTGGATAGCCAGTGAGTACACCCCCCTTAAACTCTGCTGGAGAGCCACTGAGTACACCCACCTCAAACTCTGCTGGAGAGCCACTGAGTACACCCACCTCAAACTCTGCTGGAGAGCCACTGAGTACACCCACCTCAAACTCTGCTGGAGAGCCAGTGGGTACACCCACCTCAAACAGTGATGGAGAGCCAGTGAGTACACCCAACTCAAACTCTGTTTGTATAGTTAGTGAG